GAAAAGAAGAAGCAAAGCTATCACTCTTTGCAGATGATATGATGATATACTTAGAGAATCCTAGACAATCAAGTAAAAAACTACTTGAAATAATAAACAACTTTAGCATAGTTGCAGGATATAAAATAAAACCACATAAATCATTGTCATTTCTATATATTACTAACAAAACCCAGCCGCGAGAGATAAAAAGAGAAATTCTATTTAAAGTTACAGTAGATATTTTAAAATATTTGGGAATCTACCTGTCAAAACAAATCCAGGAACTATTTTGAACACAATTACAGAACACTTTTCAAGCAAATAAAGTAAGGGCTAAATAATTGGAAATATATCAGTTGCTCATGAGTAAGTCAAGCTAACATAACAACAATTACAATTCTTCCTAAATCGATTTGCTTATTCAGTGCCATATCAATTAAACTACCAAAAATTATTTTATAGATCTGGGGAAAATGATAACAAATTCACCTGGAAGAATACAAGGTACAGAATATCAAGTGAATTAAGGAAAAGAAATGCATGGGAAGGTGGCCTAGCCGTAACAGATCTTAAATTGTATTATAAAGCAGCAATTGTCAAAACTATTTGGTACTGGCAAGAAATAGTGGTGGATCAGTGGAATAGGTTATGTACACAAGCCATAGTAGTTAATAACTACAGTAACCTAATGTTTGATAAACCCAAAACCTCCAGCTTCTGGGATAAGAAGTCACTGTTTTACAAAAATTACTGGGGGAACTGGAAAACAGTATGGCAGAAACTAGGTATAAACCAACATCTTATACCATATACCAAAATAAAGTCAAAATGGGAACATAATTTAGATATAAAGCCTGATACCATAAGCAAACTGGGAGAGCAAGGAATAGTTTACTTGTCATATTTATGGAGAACAAAAACATTTATGACCACACAAGAGATAGAGAACATTATGAAATGCAAAATGGATAATTTTGATTACAATAAATTGAAAAGATTTTGCCCAAACAAAACTAATTCAACAAAGATTAGAAGGGAAGAAGAAAACTTGGAAAGAAATTTTACGATGAGTATCTCTGATGAAGTCCTCATTTCTAAAATATACAGAGAACTGAGTCAAATTTATAAAAAAAACCACATCATTCCTCAATTGATAAATGGTCAAAGGATATGAAGAGAAGTTTCCATAGGAAGAAATTAAAGCTATCTATAATAATATGAAAAAATGTTCTAAATCACTATTGATTAGAGAAATGCAAATCCAAACAACTCTGAGGTACCACACCATATCTATCAGATTGGCTAACATGACAAAAAAGGAAAATGATAAGTGTGGGAAAATTGGAACACTAATGCATTGTTGGTGGAGTTGTGAACTAATCTAACCATTCTGGAGAGCAATTTGTGACTATGCCCAAAGGGCTATAACACACATACCCTTTGACCCAGAAGACCATTATTAGGTCTGTATCCCAAAGAGATTATAAAAATGGGAAAAGGACACACATGTACAAAAATATTTATAGCAGCTCTTTTTATGACGGCATAGAATTGGAAATTGAGGGGATGCCCTTCAGTGGGTAAATGGCTGAATCAATTGTGGTGTATGAATGTAATGGAACGCTATTGTACTATAAGAAATGATGAGCAGGTGGACTTCAGAAAAACCTGGAAAGACTTATATGAATTGATGCTGAGTGAAGTGAGCAATACCAGGAGAACATTGTACACAGTAACAGCCAAATTGTGTGATGACTAACTTTGATAGATGTATCTCTTCTTAGCACTGCAAGGATCTAAGATAACACCATAAGACTCATGATGGAAAATACTATCCACATCCAGAGAAAGAACTACGGACTCTAAGTGCAGATCAAAGCATATTATTTGCACTCTCTCTTTTTTTGTTTCTTCTTTCTGGTGGATTTTCATGTTGGTTCTAATTCTTCTTTACAACATGCCTAATGTGAAAATAGTTTTAATATAAATGTCTATGTAGAGCTTATGTCAAATTATATGCCATCTTGTGATGGCGGGAGGAGAGAGATGGGGAGAAAATTTGGAACTCAAAATCTTATGGAAATGAATGTTGAAAACTACATATGTGTGTGTGTACATACATACATACATACACATATACACATATATGTGTGTATACATACATACATACATACTCATATACATGCATACGTATATATATATATATATACACACACATACATATACATAAACTAAGTCTACAGTGTCTCAGTGAGTTCATTGCTTGGTCATGTTGTTTTGGATGGATGGTAACCTCCTTGAAAACTGGTTTGTTTTCAGTTTTTTTCCTTCTTTTTTGTATTCCCATTATGTAGTACAATGCCTAGCACATAAGTAGCATTAAATAAATGCTTGATGATTAATTGATGTAAAAGAGATTAGATTTGTTTTATTTGGCTTGTGAGAGAAGAACTAGTGACAATAAGTAGAAGTAGAGGGGCAGATTTCAGTGTGATCTAGGGGGAAAAATCCTCACAATTAAAGTAATCTCTGTGTGAAATGGACTGCCTTGGGTGGTAACAGGTTCCTTCTAACTAGAAGTTTTCAAACAAAAGCTAGATAACCAAACATCAAATATGTTAGGGAGGAAATTGTTTTTCAAGTATGGACAAGATAAAACAAGGACTTTTTATTCAGAAGATTTTATTTTTAATATAAGATTTTATTGATGTATTTTGTTTTACATCTCTATAGTTTCCCCCAGTACCCTTCTGCCTCCTCCTACTAGACAGCCATCCCATATGTCAAATAGTAATTTTAAGGAAAAAAAAAAGAAGAATCAGCATAACTGCTCAGTTGCTAAAAACATATGAAAACCCATGCCAAATGCAATGTTTGTAGATTCCCACCTCTGTAAAAGGGATGAGTAGGGAATGTCTCCTCATGCCTCTTCTTTCATGACATGTTTGTTCTTTATAATTTTGTAACGTTCATTTTCACATTGTGGTCTGTGGTTTTTCTTTTGGTTTAAGTTGTTGTAGTTATTGTGCATATCGCTTTCTTGGGTTTGCTTACTTCACTCTGCATCAGTTCACATAGATCTTTCCATACTTCTCTGTATTCATCAGTGCCATAATTTCTAATAGCACATAATTTTCCATTATATACATGTACTATATATTTTTTTACTCTATAATGAACATCTACTTTGTTTCCACTTCTTCACTATCCAAAAAAGTGCTGCTAAAATATTTTGGTGGATTTGGTAATTTTATTCTTTTTAATTGCCTCCTTAGGGTATAAGCCTAGTAATGGAATCTATGGATCCAAAGACATGGACATAATGATCACTTTATTTGCATAATTTCATATTGCTTTCATATCAGTTGTATTGATTCATAGCACCACCAACCACACACCAATGTGCCTTTCTTCCTACAACCTCTTCAACATTGACTATTGCTATCTTTTGTCATCTTTACCAATTTGTAGAGCATGAGGTAAGTCATCAGGTTGTTTTGATTTTCATTTCTCTTGTTATTAGTGATTTGGATTCTTTCATGTGTTGTTAATAGTTTGCAATTATTCTTTTAAAAGTGTTTGTCTACATCCTTTGACTATTTATGTATTGAGGAGGTTATCTACTGAATCCTGGGCCATCACAAGTCTTCCTGACTTCTTGCCACTGGATTTTGATGACTCTGGAAGAGAGAGTGAGGCTGAACTCTGCCTCACTTAAATGCAATTCATATGCAAAATAAGGCATTACTCATAATCCACTATTTTACTCCAATATCATTTTGTCATTGATCATCTTAAAAAAAAGGATGAACAACAATATTGAGGTGTATGTTATGTAATAATATCATTATTAACATAATACAATATACATATCTATCTCTATTTCATGGACACAGAATATTTATATATAATATCTTTGTCAATACAGATATAGGTATCTGTCAATTATTTACATATTTGCAATACCAAACCTTATCAGAGAAATTTGATACAAAGCTGTTTTTTTTTCAGATCTGACTGCTTCTCTTCTTATTCTGTATACATTAATTTTGCCTGTATAGAGGCTTTTCAGTGTCATGTAATCAAAGTTATCTATTTCATCTTTTGTAATTGATTTCATTTCTTGTTTGGATAAGAATGCATCTCCTACCTATAACTGTGAGAAGTATATGATCTCTTTCTCATCTATCTTCTTTTCTTAGCATGAGATTTAATATTAAGATAATATTTCTATGTACATTGTATTATGAAATGCAGTCTATGGTGATGCTCTGTAAGACAAATTTCTGTCAGGCTGCTTTCCAGTTTTTCCAGCAGTTTTTATCAAATAGGGGCTTCTTTCCTAAATAATTTCTGTTTCCTTATTGTATCTATCCCTGAGTTAGTGAATTCTGTTGTTTCTGATTCTCCCTTGACTGGCCTGTTCCATTGATCTGTCTCTCTATTTTTTAACCAATACCAGATGGCTTTGATGACTACTGTTTTATGGTAGTTATGATAATTTAAGGATGTGCTATTCCCCCTTTATCCTTGCCTGTTTTAATTTTCCCCCTTCATATTCTAAATCTGTTTTCCCCCCAAATGAATTGTTATGGTTTTTATCAAGTTCTATCAAAGTACTCTTTTGATAATTTGGTTGGTATGGCATTAAAAGTATAAATTACCTTTGGTAGTACTGTCATTTTTATTATATTGCCACAGCCTAGCCTTGGGCACTGAATAATCCTCTAGCTATTTCAGTTGTTCTTGGTTTCTTTAAGGAGGGCTTTGTAATTGAATGTCTACAAGTCTTTTGTGTGCTTTATAAGATTGATCCCTATCTATTTTTCATGATATTAAAGCTTCTAAGATATCTACTTTGTGTTCCTTTTTCTAAATGGTTGCTATGTTGTTGCTGTGTAGCCTGGTTCATCACCCCCAACCCCCACCTTTTTTTTTAAAGAAGAAAAACAATTATATTGACATAAAATTATCAAAATATATTGAAAGTAAAACAAACAACAGGAAAAAAAACTCACAGATCCTAGGCTAAGAATCCTTAGACTTGATGCTGCTGAGGTCCCTTCCAAAAGAGATTCTGGGATTTCTGCCAGACTGAACAGAATACTGACACTGGGAAAGGAGGCTGTAGTGAGCCAAAAAAACCCAACATGCTGAGGAAACTGATGTAATCTTGTCTCAAAATCAGATGCAGTACAGGTATAGTTAACAAGGTAGGAACTGGGTAACAGGGTGGGACTGAAAGGAAGTACTGGGGTTACAGAATCTAACATAGCAGCAAGCTACGGAAAAACAACAGAAAAAAGTTGAAAGTTAACTCTTAGGTTGATGTCAGTGATTGTTGGCATTGATATGACTTGGTCTAAGCCCAACCGTGGGCTTGAAGGGCTTTCTCTTTTTTGTTGTCACTCTGTGGTATGATCTGTTTTCCTTGTGAATGAGAAAGACCCCATAAGAAGTGTACTGATCCAGGCTTTGAGATCCCTGGATTCTGGCCTCTGTTTTGCAAAAAAAAAAAATAAATTGCTGTGGCACCATAGGGAGGTGGCTTCACTCCTCTATGCCTCTATTTCCTTCACTTTAAAAGGAGGGGATTGAATATGGATGAACCGTAAGATCCCCTCTTGCCTCTAACTATCTATGATCTATGACATTGGTTCAGCTCTTCCTGTTAACAGAGAAATGAGGTTTTGACCTGATTTCTTTTAAGAAACACAGTTCCCTTTCTGTCCTTCTAATTAAAAAGAACATCAAAAAATACAACTGAATATTATACTCTGAATTGATCACCTCTAGTGTTTACTACCTATATGTCCTTGAATAAATCCCTTAAATAACATCACTGTTTCATTTTGTTCAATTGTAAAATCAGTATGTTTCATCAGAAGGCTTTTGAGATCTCTTCAAGTTCTAAATCTAGGATCCTGTGAATGCTCTGTCCAAATCCCTCATTTTTTTCAAGGGAGGAAACAGAGGCCTAGAGAGGTAAGGTGACTTAATTAGGGTTTAGGTAGTAAATTGTGGAGTTGGGATTTGAGTTGGGATCTTTAGACTCCTAGTTTCCTTTTTTAAATAATGGGCCCAGGAAATCATACTAGGAATTCAATGCCCTAAATAATGAGCTAGAGGATATCCTGTTTGTTTGCTTATTTCCAACTATTTTTGTGGTTTGTGCTTATAGTTATTGTTTTCAAAATGTGTTGAGTGCTTCTATAGGAACTAATTTATGGCTAAAAAGAAATTGTAGTATCTCTATGACAGGTGGAATGAAGCATTTCCTGGAATGCAAAATAATAATAATTATTAATAACCATCATCATAATCACAACAATTTGTGTAGTGATTTAAATTTCTCAAAGCCCTTTACAGATATTATCTCATATTGTATTCATGACAATTCTTGGAGGTTGGTTAGTATTATTTCTGTTTTACAGATGAGGAAAATGAGGTAAACAGAGGTTAAGTGAGTTGTTCAGGGATACATAGACAGTAAATTTCTAAGGCTAGCATTGACCTCTACTGTCTCTGATTCCAAGTTCAGCGCTCTATAACCTGCAGGATTTCAGTTTGAATGAAGCTCCCCCAATCTATTCAGTGACCCCACTTCTTGATAAAATCAATGCACCGGATTGTTGCTAGGGAGAAACCTTATCTAAGATATGTAAAGGACATAAGAGTTCATCTTATTTTTTTTTTAGATTTGAAAGGATGTTCTTATCTAACACCCTCACTTCATAGATGAAGATACCTGAAGGTCAGAAGTGAAGTGACCTGGGCAAGGTCACACAGCATGTCCAAAGCTGTGCCAGTAGTGCCATTTTGGTCTGCTGACTCCAAATTAGGTAACTTTTTCATGGCATCAGAAAGGGTCTCAGTTACAGCTAAGACTGCTTTTCTCAAGCAATCCATTTTCTGAACTACATTGGTCTTGTCTGTAGTTATCAATTCCATCTAATTATATCCTTTTTTTTTTAACTAAAGCCAGATTCTTATATTTGTCCAAGAACCCCATACCTTTATTTATAACTTTTGAAGAAAAGCTTCACTTCCTCATATATCTTTATTCAACCAGTGGTTGCTAAGTTGACAGTTTATATCCATCAGTATCACAGCCTTTCTTTCCTACTTTTCACATAGGTAAAATAAGGGCAGTTGGACCAGATGATCCCCAAAGGCTTTTTGAGCTCTAACAGTCAAGGCTTTGATATTCTGCATTATATGGTTCCTCCTCAATTTAGCTTTTCTACGTTGAGACCTCTTTGAGTTCTAATATTCTACAAGTCGAGGCTAAAGTACAGAGGCATACTATCTAATTCTCTCCTTCTCTGATATTGCCCAGTGTCCTTGGCCATCAAGCACGTGGACAATTGAATGTGCTGTAGCTAAAGAACGCAAGGCTTCAAAGACTGGGTACTTCAAATTTGGGGGGTAATGCAAGCTTCTTATTATTGCAGTGACCTAGAAAGAACTTTTAAGGTACAAATCTCACTCAAGGAAATGAAAATGAAGAATAAAAATCCTTTTCAGGGACAGCATTACACATGAGAAACCTCTAAAAATTTTTAAATTATCATCCTATAAGTCTTCTCTTCTTAAGAATAAGCAACTTTGACTCCTTCAAATAATCCTTTTAATATCTTGAGTGTCTTCCATTGTAGATTCTTCATCTTATCAATGTTCTTTACAAATCATGGAAAAAGCTCTGGATTTTATGTCAAGGGAACTGAAATCTAGCCCCATATATTCTATGAATTTACTGTTTGACCTTGGGCTATTCACTTCATTTCTCGTTCCTGTTGGATAGGTAGAGAGTTGGAATTGACTTTGGAGGTAACATTCTTATTTTACTGATGAGAAATCTGATGTCTAGAGAGTGAAATGATTTGTCTATGGATACACAGCTGGTTATGGGGCACAAGTGGGATTTTAATTCAACTTCTTTGGTGTTAAATCCAGCCCTTTTCATACTTTGCCATGATCTTCTCAGTTCTATCATCTGTAATATGAGGAAATTAGGTTACTTGATCTTTAAGACTGCTTTTTTTTTCTCTAAAATTCTGTGGCTCTAGAATGCTATTTTTGGTATCATTATTGAATAATCATAGTTTACATTTGGGTAGAATTTACAACGTATAAAGAACTGTGCAAGCCTTGTCCCTCTAGGAGTTCCAGTTTCTCAACCAAGACATGGCCTTCCAGTCGAAGGGAAGAGAGGACATATGGATGCCAACAGGACAAGTCCTAAGAGGCACTAGTCCAACCTCATATGTGTCTTGAATCTATGTTTGGCAAGATGCTGAGGTATTATAATATGTACTTCATAGAAGTCAACAGTACCATGAGGAAAAGCAAGGACAAGAGCCCAGGATTAGTGATCAAGATTCGCCTAAATCTCTAGTAATGTGTCTTTCAGTACTTAGCTAGTCTGATCTTCTGATGACAACCACACTTATCTGTGAAATGGGGATATTACTACCATCATTATCTACTTCACAGTGTTGTTGTATGGATCCTTTGGAAAATTTTAGAAATTTAAATTCAAGGCTAAAAGGAACATCACAGGGAAAAATCATAGGATCTTAAGAGCAGGAATAGGATTCTGAGGATATCTGGTACTTAACTAAAACTAGATTTCCCTATGCAAAATCTTTGACATTTGAGAAGGATAATCCTCTGACCAATGTTCATTAAAAATCTAAGAAAGGGGACCTTGGTTGTACACAGAAATATGGCTGTTTCAATTAGAACTTATTCATCATCAGAGTTTTTGCTTTGAGTTCTATTTGAGTGAATCGTAATTTTTTCTCCTTCTAGGCATGCCAATATGCCTCCCAGAAAGCATTAAGATTAATCTTTTTTCTTCAGGAAACTGAACCTCAGTTTTCTCATCTGTAAAATGGGGGTAAAATACTTAAAAATGTACTCAAAAGTACTTAACATGAAGGGATGCTGTGAAGATCAAATGACATGTGATATATATATATATACACACACACACACACACACACACACACACACACACACACACACATACACACACAGATATAGATATATATATATATACATACATACATACATACGTACATACATACATACATACATATAAGAGCTTTATATTATTGTAGTGACTGTAGTGGTGATAATGATACTTCCAATATTGTCATTTGTTGGTAATGCTAAACCCAGAGTGTCAGCACACTCAGCCCATACTCAATAGATGCTCATGTTTGTGAGTGAGCATGGTGCAAGAAAAAGTGTGCTGGATTTAGAGCCAGAGGACCTGGACTCAAATCCTTCCTCTCCTACTTTTTTATTTTTTTATTTGTATATATTTTTTCAAATAATTTTTTATTTGGTACTTTATTTTTCCCCAGTTACATGTAAAGAACATATTTTTAGCATTTATTTTTAAAACTTTGAGTTTTAAATTCTCTCCTTTCCTCTCTCTCCACCTTCCTCATTGAGAAGGCAGGCATTTTGACATAGGTTGTAAATATGTAATCATACAAAACATTTCTGTAATAGTCATGTTGTGAAAGACTGACTATATTTCCCTCCATCATATTCTGCCCCCCCATGTATTCTATTCTCTCCTTTCACCATATACCTCTTCAAAAGTGTTTGCTTCTGATTACCCTTTCCCCCAATCTGCTCTCCCTTCTATCATCCCCCCACTCTCTTATCCCATTCTTCCCTATTTTCCTGTAGGGTGAGATAGATTTCCAAACCCAATTGGGTGTGTATGTCATTCCCTCCTTAAGCCAAATCCAACGAGAGTAAGGTTCACTTATTCTCTCTCACCTCTCCCTTCTGCCCCTCCACTGTAAAAGCTTTTTCTCACCTATTTTGTGTGAAATAATTTACCCCACTCTATCTCTCCCTTTCTCCTTCTCCCAGTGAAATCCTCTCTTACACCTTAATTTTATTTTTTAGATATCATCCCTTCATATTCAACTCACCTGGTGCCCTCTGTCTATATGTGTGTGTGTGTGTGTGTGTGTGTGTGTGTGTGTGTGCGTGTGTGTGCTATGATTTTTCTTTCCCATTTACCTTTCCACGCTTCTCTTGAGTTTTGAATTTGAAAGTCAAAGTCAAATTTTCTATTTAGCTCTGGGTTTTTTTTCTCTCTCAAGAATACATTAAATTCGTCTACCTCATTGA